AATCGAAGTCTTAATCCGCTGCACTAATTCACCCCCCCCCATCTTAGTGCCGCTCCGATCCTAACATGAACTTCATATTCCTAGTGAAAATCAGATAGAATGTAGAATAATCTTTATGCCCCAAATATGATTTCTATGACCTCCTTATAGTTAACTAGAGTTTAATTTGACCAAACAAAATAAATATGCAATTTCAAGAAAGGTACTTACTCAAAAATACGTAGAAATTAATATCTTAGAGCACTTGCCATGTATTTCTCCTCATGAATAAAACTATTTGATTGCTTGATTTCATTTTATATGAAAGTAGAAATTTGTACTGTGAAGCACTTGAGATTCAATCATGAACCACACTGATTATGTTCCTATAGTTGGAAATTCTCTACAAGAACTGGATTTGTTTTTAATATATTTTTATTAACCAAAGGTATCCTAGAGAACAGAAAAATATATTTTGCATGACAAGAAAGTTTATCCTGACAAGTTTATTCAAAGATTATATTAAGAATAGCTGACTTTTCCACTGAAATCAGTAGTGTAATCAAAACCTACTAATGCACTAAACTATCACAATTCAAAATCATCAGTCTTAATTCTAAGGTAATCTTAGATGTGAAGCAATGCAACAATGAGAAATAAACTTGGTGCATGAGAAATAAATTTGGTACATGACAAATGAACTTGGTATGTAACTTTGGATCAAGATGCTGATGGAATGTTGGAAATTTTGCTAATTGCCTGCTGGCTAAAGTTCTTGATTATTTATTTAATTATGAATGTTAACCTTTTAATCAGCATCAGGGCATTCAAGCATTCTAGTGAGCTTCTGGTGTGATCCTCTAACTCATTAATTTTGGCAGTTATCATGTCCATGTTTATCACACTGGACAGACCTTACTAGATGCAGAACCCGGTTGCTTTCTACTGCACGAGTATACTAGTTTGCTTAGTTGCGGTTTCTTAAGTAAAAAATGAATAGACAATGTAAAGCTATGAACCCGGCTAAGGATTAACAACTGCCTTAAATATTTGCATATCGTAGATCTGGAGGAATTCTTTTGAGATCTAATTACATAAATTGAAGAAACTGATGGTTGCTATTTACTCAATGATGTAAAGTCATATATATAGAAGAAATAACATAAATGGGATTCTTGCTCAAAGAAGTTAAGACATGTGAGAGTACAAAGATTCTCATAGTCTGGGCAATGTCAAGGTCTCTCATCTAAACTAGTTCAAACAAAACAAATAACATGGAAAATGGAAACATATTTGAACCGAAGCAGAAAAACCAACTTAAAGAATATGCATTAAGCATGGTAATCGATGGGATAAATTAGTCAAATAATTACACTTTCTTGCTAGGTGCCATGCCCTTATGAACAGTTGCAATTTAGGTTTCCTTTTCAGAAGTTTGGCACTGACATAAATGCCCACAAGGGACTTATATGTCATCATTCACATAATGTGTGCCAAGTACCATATAGAGTATGAAAGCGTTGAATAACTTTTTACATGCTTACCAAAACCTAGGTACATGGGATACTCATATGTTCACATAATGTGTGCCAAGTACCATATAGAGTATGAAAGCCTTGAATAACTTTTTACATGCTTACCAAAACCTAGGTACATGGGATACTCATATGTTCAGTGACACACCTAACCCTATTGTGTGCACTGATATCAATTAACTTGGGAGTCAAGCAAGAATGTAAAGCAGAAAGGGGCAACAAGTTATTTTAGTCAACATTTGCTTATAATAATCTCAGGTTGGCCTTCAGACAGCCAAAACTCATAAAACATAAAGAATACATTTAATGCATAACATTTTCAAAAGTAGAGAGATCAGCTCTAATCTACAGAGTTTGAGAATCATTCAGTACATTTCAACTTCTTGTTAGCCAGCACTTCGAATTAGACTTGCCACTTGATGTTTTTATAGAACTTCTACCACTGTGACTTTTGGGGAACTATTTAACATTTGTGAAGCAGAGCCACACATAGGAGGAACTACGGGAGAACAGAAAAAGAAAGGTTACCTGTAAATGCAACTGATTAGGGTTCGTTCGTCGAATTCTTCTGAAGAACATTGCCCGCCTGGACAGAATTGCCAGAGCATAGAACTCCCCAGATGCATAAGTCTTACCTTTACCTTTATCTGATGGCCATGCCTTTGCTATGGAAGGATGATCCGCAGGACTCTTTGCCAATTTTCTGACCCAACCCAGCATTCCCGCCAGATCATTCCGCTTCCTCTTATGATGGTTAAACCCCCCATTAGCAGTGTCCTCCAGGATGACAACATCGTCACTATCGGTCCCAACATCACCAAACGGCGTCGAGCATTGATCTTTACTTGTACTTGGGAGCAGCCTGGAATTACAATCACAATCCTTCTTGTGATTCGCAGTCCCTGGAGAGCCGCATCTGGTCACCAAAGAGCTTCGGTTCGTATATCCCGTTCGCTTACGCATTGGCTTCTCGCCCGAACCTCTTTGCAAACACTGGTCCAGCGCATCCAGATACTTGAAGAAGACCAACTTCAACGACGATCCGATGCCCGAGTCGAACCCTATCGCCTTGGCCACCAACGGCCATGCATGTGCATCAGACACCGCATCGTAGCCACCTTTCCCTTGCACAACAGAGTAGAGCTTGAACAGGTCGACCGAGAGTCCATCGCCAAGGACGGCCGGCAGCGGGCGGATCTCCCCCCTCCTGTAACAGATCTCCTTGAGGAAGACCGACAGGATCTGATCAAAGAGACAGCTGAGGTTCTCGCCACCGGGCGGCTCCTTGTTGGAAACATAAAGATCGGAGCAAAAGCCGAGGGTTTGGAGCTTGCGAAGGATCTCCGCGACGGACTCGAAGGGGGCGGCAGTAGAGGGGGAGCATCCGGCCATGGAAGGAGGAGGAGGAGGGCCGGGCGAGGCCGCGCGGCCAGTGGAGGCGCCCGCGGTCTGCCGCTGGCCTTGCGCCACCCCGAGCGGGGCGGGGCCCGAATGAGAGAGGAAAAGGGCTATAATCTTTTCGGTGAGAGAGAGAGAGAGAGTACCGACGGCTACAGGAGATGACAGATTTCTTCAAGGAGGTGAAAAGATTAAAAAAACAGGAATGACAAGAGGGGAAGAAGGGAAAATATTTTTTATTTTTTTATTTTTTTGTCTTTTCTCATCTTCATATGTGTGTACTTTTAATCTTTTCGGTATTTGTTTTGGTATGATTTGTTTAGGACTATTACATAAACAAATCTACTATTTATTTTAAGACTAAAGATTTATAATTTTATTTTATAAATTTTAGTAGTCAATAATACACTTATTTACTTACTTTAGATCGAATATTTGAAATTTTATTAATTATATTTTTAAAATAAAAAAAATCTATTACCTTGTTCGAAAAATTGTGTTCATAAAAAAAACACTCTATTGCTTTATTCAATTCACGTGAAAGTGAAAGAAATTAGTGGATCTTACTAAAACAAACCCAACATGGAGGAAAGAGAGCGGCCAAAGGTTGTACGAGTTGATAGGATACCATTTGCGCCCCAAAGTTTCCTGTTTAAACCTTTCTCCTCTCAATTAGCTATTTAATATAGGAGAGTGGGCCAGCGCATCAAAATTATGAAGTACTTAGTGGAAACATTGGGACATGGAATTCAGGTTTGACATTGCCAACGCCAGGGACACACATCATTGGTATAACTTATCTGTTGGTGTGACAACTGAAGGGTTAAAGGATGAAGAGATAAGAGATTAAAATGGTTTTTTTTTCATGGTGATGGATATTTAGTCTTGTTTATAAAAATAGATTGTGATTATGTTAATAACCTTATTAATCTCATTAGCAAACATATATTTTAAGATATAAAAAATTGATCATGTTAATATTTAAATACTTTATTCTCCTTAACCCCTATATTTAAATGGTCAATACAAACAAAAAGACATTAGTATCTATTAAATGTAAAATAGTTTGGCAATTATCACATGATTATCCACCAAAGTAGTAGAATATCCAAATCTCTCATTCTCTTTTTTTATTTTTTTATTATTTATCCATAAGGGATACATTATCATCCTCATCGTGTGTGGGGCCTAAAGAGAAACAAAATAAAACTTTCTTTTCGTCATTTATGATAAGAAAAATAAACACAAATTCTCTTTTTATCATTTATGATAAGAAAGATAATCACAAGTTTCTTTCTTATTAAAATACTTTTTGTTGAACTACTAAGATCCACACTTATATACATAGAATTACTAACTTAGAAAATTGAAGAGACTAGATAAAAAACCTTTTTCGATTTCGGTTTTCGTGCATATGATATTTTGGGAGCTCGACATTCTCATCTTGGAGACACCTCGAATAGTCCTATGCATTTGGGTCTTAATCACGTTGGGCTGATTAAGACGTTCACGATATTTTTTTTCTAATATTTTGGTATTAGAAGAAGGGTCCAATATTATAGGAATGTCCGCCTACCCTTTTAACAAATGCTCTCGACCTATAGTACTTTCATTAGGGGGTAGTAGCCACTCCTTCCATGTGTTGATGTATCTACCTCGGCACAAATGTTGACGTAATACTAGTATTCATTTAACAACTCAAGAGCGACCTTAAGTCACCTGTTCATCCCTGTTGAGGCATTCCTAAATCTCACCCAGTAGGTGCAAATGCTAATGAGTATAATGCAAGTTATCGTTATGCTCTTGCCTCAACTAACCCAACAAATGATGCTACTACCTCAACCACAACTAGCAACTCAATCGACACCGACACAGACACTAGCACCCGTCGGAGTTCCCCCACTCGACGCAATGCCAATATTTCAAAAGCGCCCAAGGCTCATCGAGCTACCAATCTAGCGAGTACCTCATTCCCCAACTATGAAATTCAATGGATCACCATACCACTATCTCGTTCCACCCGAATCCCAAACCCAATCGATATGTTTGATAAATGATTCCTTGAGAATCTAACTATAACAAATGAAACTATGTTTGGAAGAAACACAATAAGAATTCTAACAATCTAGAGAAAAAGGGTCGACCAACCCCACTTTGGGTTGGTTGTCATTCACCAACGACATCCAAGAGGAACCAATCCCAACTAACTTTGTCTCTTATCATTAAAGGCATTTGACGGTAATACCAACTTGCTAGAGCACTTTGCTACTTTCTATACCTTGATATTTATATAGGCACCTCAGATACCCTAATATATCATGTCTTCTTAACTATAATAAGAGGATCGGTACGAGAATGGTACACCCCTCTAAAGCCACTCTCTATCAGTTCCTTTATTCAGCTCATCAGAGAATTTGATCTTTACTACCTTGGGAATATATGCCCGAAGTCATTGACAACAATACTTCTTGGACCTAGACAAGGGGAGGAGGAGACACTCTTGGACTTCATTGCTCGATTTACCAACTAAATCCAAGAGGTGTAAGATGTACACTCATTACTTATCATGATGGGACTCAAGCTCTCTCATCTTTTCTAGTTAGTGGTAGAGAAGCCACCAATAATGATACCTAGAATACTCCAATAGATCAATTAATATATGGTGGCAGAGGCAATGGTCTCGAGTAAACACAAAGAGACATGTAAAAAGCTGAGAGACTATGAGTTATAATCCTCACTGATGCCAAGGTCACTATAGCAACAAAAAAGTGATAGACCTGAATTGCCTCACTCAAGGTTCGAGTCAACCCCATTGAATATAACCAGGATCGAAGTCCTTTTACAAATAAGAGAGAAAGAATTCTTAAAAGACCCTCAATCAATAAGAACTCTATTGGAGAAGAGAGATATATACAATTACTATCACTTCCATCGAGATTATGGCCACGACACTTTTGGGAAACCTTAGAGAACATCACATGTGCAGCAAAAAAATAAAAACAAAAATTAGTTTCTCAAAAATAGAATTATTTCAAATTGCATGCGATGATCGGGAGTGAAAAACTCATCAAATCTGAAAACTGCATAAGACGTGAGACAATCTCATATAAGGGAACTCATATATCTCTGATATGTAGATCTTAGTTTGTAGATGAAGGAGATCTTGCGTTCTCCTCTCTAGCAGTGATCCACATAGTGGATGAAGCGACGAAGCATCTTCTCTCATGACGCGTTCTTTCCTCGCTTTCGTGTACCATCACTAAAGCAGCAGGGGGCAATCTTCTTGCTACCCTCTTACACTAGAGAGCGGGCAATCAGCTGAGAAAGAAGCATGAGAGAGGTAAGAGAGGTGGCTACTAAGGGTCTAGCCTTATAACCCTTTTAGTCCCATATCCCTTTTTATAGAGAGCTCATACTGTTAACTATAATGGATCTTATCTTATTGGGTATCGGATCTCCATCCAATTTTTCTAGTATATTGGACATTGGATCTCCATCTAATTATCTTTTGCTTAATGAAAATTGGATATCTATCCAATTATCCACTATAAGCTCTTATTGGATCTCACCCAACGGATCTAATAAAATAAGGGTTTATTGAATATCATATATCTAATTATCTATTTGTTGTATCATCTACCATATGTGTGTGATGTTCTAGGCTCAATATCATGATGGCCATGAGTTGTACATATTAGAATTCTTTCTGGCTCAGAACTCCTTCTAATTCAATGAATTATCATCTCATGATAATTCACTTAACTCATCAACTATGGATATACTATGCCACTATCCCATAGTCCCCAAACGGTATAGGGGGATCTAATCCATTGGACTTGTTTGTTCTCAGTTATCATGTATCTATAGTTCCTCATCTATCTAATATCCCAAAGATTATATACCGAGCATGGTACTATTGGGCCCATGTAGAATCTGCTCGAGTCTCGCTCTAATCAGATTCTCTTGAAGAACTCATTCTCTCTTAATCTGAATGACCATAGCTAGAGATTTGTCTAGGTGACAACACATGAGACATTCTTTTTATGACACCAAGAGTAGATGATTCTTTATCGACACTCAATTGCCTTCAAAAGATTGGCTATCATTTCCAATGAACGGCTGTGCTAGATATAGAACCTCTAGACCTATAAGTTCGGTATCAAAGAGTGGAGTACTCATATAGAGCATCCTTGGTGTTTCAAGTCTAAGGACCAAACACACAACTAGGACCACGGAATCACTATCTAATAATGAGATATCATTAACTATTCAGCATTTAATGAGCGGATCATTCAATAAACTCATTTTTCTAACGAGCACATATATAGCCTCCCTAGTGTTCCCACATGAGCAGCTATGAGACCAACTGCCTCTATCATATAGACGAGTATATATAGCATATCGATTTGTTTAGCTATCTCGATATCCCTCTCGAGTAACCTTTGACTAGAAATATTTAGGATTATGTTTATAGACGAATTGATCTTATTATCATGATCTAATTTCTATTAAACATATCCAAGGATATCAGAATATATGCAATAGGCAATCATAAAGTGAGAAAATACTAAATAATAATAATAAGCAAAAAGACTATACAGCATGTCACACATGCCATCACTCATATAATTGGCTTATAGGGCACCTATGACTAGCAATCTCCCACTTGACCTAAAGCCAATCACCTACATACTTGATCCTCATCAGACCCCTATACTACTTAAAGATAATATGAGACAATGACTTTATCAATGGATCTTCATTGTTACATCACCATAGGTTACGATCTTTCTAATCAAGTAGAATCTTCTCAGAATGTGCGTAGACTTCTGATGAGACCTAAGTTCCTTTGCTTGTGCAATCGCCCTGTTGTTATCGTAATATAACGGAATCAGCTTCTTGTTGCCCGACATAATTTTTAGATTTGTGATGAAATTCTTCATCCAAACTATCTTCTTTGTTGCTTTTGTCACAATGATATACTCCGTCATTATAGTCAAGTCAACAATAGTATCTTACTTGGAACTCCTCTAGCACATTGCTCCTCCATTCAGGGTGAACATATATCCTAAGTTAGACTTGCTATTATCGACATCGGATTAGAAACTCA